ATCAGAAAGTGTTTGTTTTAGTGGATACATGGAAAGAGTTTGCTAAACTGAACAGTGGCTTTAAGTGCAAACTAATGAATTATATTGTTCAGACTTGACTTCAGACATCGAGCTAAATGACATATGTATGAGAAGTACTTATTAACTAAATGCAAGGGTGGAAGTTCAGTGTAACCTTTCATGATGAATACGAATATGTGTTTTGCCTGACCAAACAAGATCATTGAAAACTGAGCCAGCCATGTAAGATTATGACAGGGATTATAGAAGTAGCTGGAGATGAGCTCCTGATCATTTCAGAACAGTTTCTTCTTGTTTTCTTGGCTCTGTAGAAAGGGAATATAATTAACATACCTCAGTTCCGGAGAGGTGTCTGTCTCTCTTTCAAAATGTTTAAATTTTTTAAAAGCAGAATGGGGGAACTCACTGTCATTTTGTGAGAAAATGGTTTTCCATGTTTAAGAACTCCCAAGGGCATAAGGCCATAAACTGTTCATAGGATTTAGGGTAAAAATCGACAATAGATGTTTTCAAAGTTGTCTTTTATAAATTTTATATTATGCTTAAACTTACTACAGCAATGGACCTATCATTAAAGGAATAATCTCTTTTTTCTTTTATAAAAAGTTAAGTAGTTTTGAAAGCATTGTATATTGGTGTTAGAAACATGGAACTTATTCATAGCTAGCATTCCATTTTTTTTATCATACTGTATCTTTACTTGAGAGATTTGAACACATAGTGAACAGACTAAAACTGCTGTCACTAAACGAGTACTATGACTACATTTCTAATTATAAAGGACACATGATGGAAAAAAACAGGACATTTATGTCAGTCTTTAGGAAATAATCTCTTCAGAATGCAGAAAAATCCATTTCTAGTGTGTAATTTTCCTGCCAAACATGGGGATCTCCATGTTTTCCCTAATTTACCCCATTGCTACCGTTGTATAACACCCAAGAGTCATAGTATCTGTTTATATTGTGAAGAGGATCAAAATAATCCCTTTTCTTGCAACAATTTCATAGACAAGAAGCAGATCTAGTATTCTATCATATTTCCTAGATGCTTGCACTTTATAATAAGAATGTACATAAAGATAATACTAGCTGTTAATATCCTTGTTCATGACCGTTGTGGACAGAGGAAGGAGAAAGTGATTGGCAGGTGACATGCAAAAATGTGATTTTATTTCTTGGCTTAACAAGTATGTTAACTCTGTGATAATGAATTCACTTCCGTATGAATAGTTTCTATATGAATGTCGTATAATCTTAAGTATTAAATTTCAATGTGTACTTTATTTTCTTGAAAATCAGTTATAACTTACCTTTCTTTGTATAAATACGTGTCTGTATGTAGTGGAGTTCTTAGCTTCCTCAATCTAATGTCTAACAGTGAACTGTTTATTAAATTTTTTCTATTTTCATACATTAAAATTTAATGTCATTTAGAGTCTCTCCAATATCCCCCATGTGCACATATTGTCCTCCATCAAATTAAATGTACTTTGTGTCTCCAAATATCCTTCAGCATGGGTTCATCCATTAGAGCTTAGTTAATTTACAAGAATCCCATGCTTGAAAGAGACTGTCTTTCCCCCTTCCATCAAATATTTGTTGCTCAAAATTTCTTAGTTGGATTTGGATCTTCTAATCCAGTTCTTTATGAGTATGCTGGGTTTTTTTTCTAGTTCAACCTTGCATGGGACTCATCCATGTTGTCACCACTGCTGTGAGTAATTATAAATAACTGATCAGTTGTCTGGAAAACTCTGTTGCCTTGTGGTCATCCACCACCTCTGGCTCTTACATTTTTCTGACCCCTCTTGCACAATGATACCTGATTTGGGAGCAGAAGTTTGAGTTTTATATAAGTGTCCTATTCAGAAAGAAGTACTCTGTAACCTCTTGTTCTCTGCATGTTGGCCAGTTGTGGGGTTTTGTGTTAATCACTATCTATTGCATAAAGAAGCTTCCCAAGTGAGAGCTGAGAGATGCATTCCTCTGTGAGTATAACAATAAGTCATTAGAAGTCAGCTTGATATGATAACTATAGCAGAAAACTAGTATTAGATTCTCCTAGAGGTCCTACAACCATCTAACCTCGGGTTATTGGGCTTGATATCAATGTCAGGTATGGACTCCATCCTAGGACACAGATAAAGAGTGGTTGGCTATTCCAATAATATTTCTGCCATCACTGCACTGGTGGGCACATCTTGCCAGGCCAGTTGTAACTATAGTTCACAGGATTTACAGCTGGGGAAGGATGATGATTATTTTTCTTTCCCGTTATTTGCAAAGCACTGTCCTGGGCTATGAATACTAGCCAGTAGAGATAAGTGACTGGTTTATGAGAGCTTAAATAACTGGTGGGCTTGTCCAAAACAAAACTTTAGTTATTTCTTGGTGTCTCATTTTTCTATGACTTCTTGGGCTTCCTTTAATATCTCAATTTTATCATAAAAATGTATATTGACATTTTCATTTTATAGCTATTCACAGGGTAGACTTTCTAATTTAATCACTGATGGTAGGGACCTTCATGTTTTCAATGAAATAATACAAATACAAGAATTTATTAATTTTTTAAAATCTATTATGGTGTTCAATTTCTTTATTAATTTCATTTCTATTTTTTTTGAGACTGGGTCTCCCTGTAAACCCAACTGACCTGAGATTCTCTACCTAGACCAGGCTAGCCTCAATGTCACAGAGTGCTTAGGATTAAAGACATCTACCACCATGCCTGGCCCCATCCATTTCTTTTTTAAAATGTTTTTTTAAAATGTTTTTAAAACATTTGCTTCTTTGAGAACTTTATGCAATGCATTTTGATTATTCACTGATAATTTATTCCAAAAATCTTTTTACATCAGTAAGAATAAAGAATCTTGTTAGAGTCAGTCAATATAAAACCAAATTAAGTATATACTAGTATTAAAAGTTGTGTTATTTTGTGGCTAATTCAAGACAATTATAGATTTTTATACCATGATATTTAAATAAACACAGATGGATTCCTGTACCAAATATATTACTTTTTCAGAATCAACTTGTTTTTAAAATACAGAGCATCTAACCATCTTTATACTCTCTTCCCCACTGGCACCTCCCAGAGCCCCCAATCCCACTGAAATTCATGCATTCTGTCATTTCTGTTAAGGCCTAGCAAGTCAAGTCAGGGTTCCCAGATATCCTTCAGTGCAAGTTCATCCACTGAGGTCTAGTCAGCCTAACCAGAGTCCCTCCTTTTTCTCACCCTGCAGTAATCAGCTGCTGATAATTTTTTACCTAAGATAGGGCCTGCAGCCCATTTCCACAGTTCTGTTCTGGGATTTTGTCTGCTTGAGTTTGCATGGTTCTGACGGTATTGCTGTACATTCATATGAGCAAGGTTCTGGGAGACTGTAGGACTCTACCTCCATATAGTCATGTACCTCTTCCACACATATATTATCTCAACCCTAAGTTCATCTAATAATGACCTATAAAATTAGGGTTACTCTAGCATCCTAGAGAAAAGAGATAAATTTTTCCAGGGAACATAAACATTATCAATAGATTTGGTGGAGGATAGCAGCTGAGGGCCAGCAGAGTACTGCAGGAATGTAACATAAGCTGTCAGTTTGAGGTGAGTGGGAAATAAGCAACAGGAGAGAATGGTGACTTGAAGCACCAGCCTCCTCTCAGGTATGAGACCATTTGTCTTTTCCTTTGTGAAAGTGATCATGATTGTCTCCAAAGTCTGGTGTACCTGACATTTCTATCAGATCCTGAATGACCCTAGATTTGATTAAGATGCAGGAAGAGGTCTTGACAAGTACTCCTATAAACAAGCTGGCCATACATCACTTTGGTCTTGGGGAAAAAGTTGCCTTTAGTAATGTCCAAATATACTCCAGTGCAAAATGGGGAAGAGGTAGAAAAAGTTAACAAGAAAAAAATGTGATATATCTGATTTTCCCACCATCCTAAACAATGTGAAGTAGCCCCTTATGATGTCTGGAGTTTTAGTATATGGAAGAATTTTAACCAGTGCTATGAGTCCATCTACATAATGTCTGACAAGGCCAAAGATGAGCCTTCCTGAAAGATGGAAGATTTAATTGGACACTGATACTTCAGTGTGATGTTTCCACCGACATTCTTTTGTATCCAGGATCCTGCAACTGGACCCACATTCCTAAATATTTACTGAAATAAAGGATAAACTGTTTAGGTTTTCCCTTACATATTTTTCAGTTGTGTTCCATGAGTTGTAGTGTGTTTTTTATGGACTACTCAAAAAACACACAAAAAATGTCCAAGATGTGGTAAGTTACTTATAAAAATAATCCACAGAAATGAAGCAGATGTGATTTGAACTATACTTTTCTTTTAATATATGCTTTGCTTTAAGGAGGACATTAATATTTCTCTAAATCAGGTTCCTGGTTATAATAGATCTAACACAGGTTTTCAATATAAATTATTGTGTTCCAACTATACATCAGTGTCTCATGATTCTAAAGTATATGAATAGAGCATGCATATATATACAAATATAGTCAAGATAATTTCATATGCAAGAAGTTGCCGTGTAGCAGAGACATTTTTTACTAAACATATTTACTTTTTAGGCAATCATCACATAAGAAAAATCCAATCTTAAATTCACAAGGTGATAATAGGCTACTTTCAACTTTATTCGTTATCTGACTTCTACAAAGATGATGGTAAACAGATTTATGATTTATGAAATATTCCATGCAACTGTTAAGCAATATCACGTATGGCTTGTACTATGGAATTTCAGGGATGACATTGATGTATGAAAAAATAAATTGTGCAACTTCTGAGAGATCATATTTCACCAGATTCATGTGAATGGCAGGATGATAATAATGAAGATGTTGATTCTCCAGAATATCATGATCTGGGCTATGCCCCTTGCTAGTAATGTCATGGTGTCAATCAAGAATAATAACATTAATTTCTTCTTCTTAGGAAGTGATGTTCCAGGATCCAAGAGGTACCAACAGCTCCAAGTTCCAGATATCTGAGTTCATTCTGTTGGGATTCCCCGGCATTCACAGCTGGCAGCACTGGCTCTCCCTACCCCTGGCCCTGCTGTACTTCTTGGCTCTCATAGCCAACATATGTGTCATTACCGTCATCCACCAGGAAGCTTCACTACATCAGCCTATGTACCATTTCCTGGCTATTCTGGCAGTAGTAGACATGGGCTTGGCAACCACCATCATGCCCAAGATTTTAGCCATCTTCTGGTTCAATGCTAAGTCCATCAGCCTTCCAGAGTGCTTTGCACAGATGTATGCCATCCACTGTTTTGTTGCTATGGAGTCAGGTATTTTTGTCTGTATGGCTATTGATAGGTATGTGGCAATCTGCCGACCACTCAGATATCCTTCCATCATTACTTTATCTTTTGTGGTCAAAGCAACTATGTTCATGACCCTCAGAAATTGTGTGGCTACCATATCAGTTCCTGTGTTGGCTTCACAGAGAAATTACTGCTCTAAAAATCAAATTGAACACTGTCTTTGTTCTAACCTTGGGGTCACTAGCCTCTCCTGTGATGACAGAAGAATCAACAGTGTCAACCAGCTGGTATTGGCTTGGGCAATCATGGGAACTGACCTAGGTTTGACTCTTTTTTCTTATGCTTTGATCCTCCGGTCTGTGTTGAAGCTGAACTCTGCAGAAGCTGCATCCAAGGCCTTGGGCACCTGCACTTCCCACCTCATCCTAATCTTTTTCTTCTACACTGTCATTGTTGTCATTTCCATCACTCACAGTGCAGGCATGAAAATTCCCCTCATCCCAGTTCTGCTCAATGTGCTACACAATGTGATCCCTCCTGCTATGAACCCCGTGGTGTATGCCCTCAAGAACAAGGAGCTCAGACAAGGTTTGCACAAGATGGTCAGAATGAACTTCATGTGTAATTAAGAATGAGAGTATATTCCTTTATCACTTTCTACATATTCACCAATTCTATTCTCCAATGAGTATAACTGGCAAAAGTAAATAATATGGGCACAATAGAGGGTGATGTGGGTTTACAAATCAATGGCAACAACTGAAACTTTAGAACAGAAAAATGAATCTTTGCAATATTTGAGCATGAGAAAGTCTTCCTTCCAAAAGAAAATAATGATGCTATTTGTCTCCACAAATAGGGAAAGACATACAGACTGTATACTTCAGGATTTTTTGTTCATATGGGTATGGCATCCAGACAGTGTAGAATAATTTACTGGCCCAGATTTTTTGCCTATTAGTTCTTTTGAATTGGAGAGTTAATCCCTTGTATTTAATTCTATGAGAGAAATTAGGGCTAACCGCTAATGTTTTGCTGCTCTATTTTTTTCACCTCATGTTTTTCAGTAAACAAAGGTCTTGAACATAATTTTTCTCTAAGAAGATATATAAATTATGAAGAAGAAACTGACAAATGTTCCATTATGCCATATCATATGCCATTAGATATATGGCCTAAATCAATAAAAACATAATAGCTTACCTTATACAGTCTCTCTGAAATGGTTATTAGTCCCCCCCAAAAAATCAGGATAATTTTTGCATATGTACAAAAACTCTTGTACATTGTTGTTGAGATATAAGAGGTTAAAGAAACTGTGAAGACAGTTTGAGATTTACTCAGTGAGTTAAACACTACAATCACCATAAATCATGGTACTTGAGTACTAAGTATTATATATACCCCACAGGGAAAAAAATTATTTGAACAAAAACATGTCTTAGAATTTTATTTACATTGCTTATAAAAATGAACAATATATAACCTTTAAATTCTAAATGGAAGCATAAAATAAAGTTTTTTCATAAAAAGGGCTATACAGACTAGTTTGTTGTCTGGCAGAAACTCAACTCACTTTCAAGGACAGGCACTACCTTAAGGTGAAAGGATGGGAAAAAATACACCAAGCAAATGCGACTAAGAAACAAGCAGGCATTGCAATTCTAATATGTGCTAAAATAGACTTTAAACCGAAACTAATCAGAAGAGACAAAGATGGCCATTTCATTCTGATCAAAGGAACAATAAACCAAGAAGATATTACAATCTTGAACTTACATCCACCAAACTCTGGTGCACCCAACTTCATAAAAACAGTACTACAAGACGTTAAGACCCAGATTAATCCCAACTCATTAATGGTATGGGACTTCAATACCCCATTGTCACCATTAGATAGGCAACAGGATGGAGAATTAACAGAGACACATCTGAATTAAACAATACCATACATCAAATGGACCTAACAGACATCTACCAAATATTCCACCCAAGGACTGAAGAATACACTTTCTACTCAGCACCCCATGGAACCTTCTCCAAAATTGACGATGTACTGGGGCACAAAACAAATCTCAACAAATACAAAAAGATTGAAATAATTTCATGCATTCTATTAGAACACAATGCAATAAAGCTTAAAATCAACACTGAAATAAACCGTAGTAACCACATGAACTCATGGAGATTAAACAACACACTCCTGAATGATGAATTGGTCAAAGGAGAAATTAAAAAGGAAATGAAAGTATTCCTGGAAGTAAATGAAAAGGACAATACAACACAACAAAACCTTTGGGACAGGTGGAAAGCAGTCCTCAGAGGGAAGTTTATAGCTCTAATTGCCTACATTTAAAAAAATCAGAAAGAACACAAATAAATGACTTAACATTGCAACTCAAGACACTTGAAAAGCAACAACAACTGAAACCCAAACCCAGCAGACAAGAAGAAATAACAAAAATCAGAGCAGAAATTAATGAAACCGAAAGACAGAAAACAATATAAAGAATCAATGAATTCAAGAGCTGGCTGTTTGAGAAGATAAAGAAGACTGATAGACCACTATCCCAGTTAACCAAAAGAAAGAAAGAGCACCTCCAAATCAACAAAATCAGAGATGAAAGGGGAAACATCACAACAGATACCAAAGAGATCCAGACCATTATAAGGGAATATTTTAAAAACCTATATGCTACTTTTGAAAACCTAAAAGAAATGGATGGGTATCTAAAAGCATGGGAACTACCAAAACTAAACCAAGAAGAGATTAACAGCTTAAACATATCCATACCACTTAGGGAAATTGAAACAGTAACACATATCTTCCTGACTAAAAAAAGCCCAGGACAAGATCGATTTACAGCAGAATTCTACCAGACTTTTAAAGAGGATCTACATCCAATACTACTTAACTTATTAAAAAAGATAGAAATGGAGGGAGAACTTCCAAATTCCTTCTATGAAGCCAGCATCACTCTAATACCAAAGCCAGGTAAAGATACAATCAAAAAAGAAAACTATAGACCCATATCTGCAAAAATTCTCAGCAAAATACTTGCAAACTGCACACAGACACAAATCAAAAAGATCACCATGATCAAGTTGGCTTTATTCCAGAGATGCAGGTATGGTTCAATATACATGTCAATAAACATCATAAATCACATAAATGGGCTCAAAGACAAGAATCACATGGTCTTCTTAATAGATGCAGGGAAGGCCTTTGACAGAATTCAACATGCATTTATGTTCAAAGTCCTAGAGGGAATTGGACTGGAGGGAACATACCTCAACATAATTAAAGCCATATATAACAAACCCACAGCCAACATCATTCTAAATGGAGAAAAACTGGAAGAATTCTCACTGAAATCAGGAACCAGACAAGGCTGTCCACTATCTCCACTCCTCTTTAACATGGTGCTTGAAACTCTTATAAGAGCAATAAGACAAGAGAAAAAAATTAAAGGAGTAATAACTGGAAAAGAAAAGATCAAATTATCCCTTTTTGCAGATGATACTATGTCTAAGAGATGCCAAAAATTCCACCAGAAAACTCCTAGAAATAATTACAAAATGATCTACAAAAGTCTATAGCCTTTCTATATACCAATAACAAGCAATCCGAGAAAGAGTACATGGAAACATTCCCCTTCACAGTAGCTGTAAAAAAATATCTTGGAAAAAAACTAACAAGTCATTAAAGACCTCTACAATGAAAATTTTAAATCCTTAAAGAGATTGATGAAGACGTCAGAAGATGGAAGGGTCTTCCATGTTCACAGATTGGAAGAGTTAATATTGTTAAAATGACCATCCTACCAAAAGCCATTTATAGATTCAATACATTGCCAATCAAAATCCTCATGACAGTTTTCAGAGAATTGGAAAAAGCCTTCGTAAGATTTATATGGAAGCACAAAAGACTTCAGATAGCCAAAGCAACCCTGAGCACTAAGAGAAATGCTGGAGGGATTACTATACCAGATTTTAAGCTGTATTACAGAGCTATAGTAATAAAAACAACATGGTACTAGTGCAAAAAAATAGACCCAGAGATCAATGGAACAAAATTGAAGACCCAAATTTGAGTATATTCAATTTCAGCCACCTGATATTTGACAAATAGGCCAAGAACATTCACTGGAGGAAAGACAGCATGCTGGCCAAATGGTACTGGCAAAACTGGATCTACATCTGTAGAAGAATGAAACTAATCTCCTATCTTTTACCTCGCACAAAGGTCAACTCCAAATGGATCAAAGACCTCAATGTGAAGCCTGAAACTCTGAAACTGTTATAAGGAAACATTGGCAATAACCTACAAGACATAGGTGTAGGAAAGGATTTTCTAAACCAACATCAACTACCCAGGAAACAGGTAAAGAATCTCAACAAATGGGACCTCCTTAAACTAAAAAGCTTCTGTACACCAAAAGAAGCAACCAAGGAAGTGAAGAGAAAACCCACAGAATGGGAGAAAATTTTCCCTAGCGATCCATCTGATGGAGGTTTAACATCCGATATACAACAAACTCAAAACAGAAAGAATCAAGAAAGGAAGTAACCCAATTAAAAGATGGGTTAAGGAGCTGAACAGAGAGTTCTCAAAAGAAGAAATAAAGTTGACTAAGAAGCATCTTAAAAGGTGTTCAACATCACTAGTAATTAGAGAAATGCAAATTAAAAACCGCTTTAAGATTTCATCTTACCCACCCTGTTGGGAGCTATTTGTATAAGCACAGCCATTAGGTACATTGAGCTGTGACAGGCTTGCTTGCTTGCTTACTTTATGATCTTTCACTTTGACCAGCCCAGACCAGAGCAGTTCAGTCCGACGGGAACAGGGTCCCTGAGAGGGTGGACAAGGATTCGGCAAATGACAAACAGACCAACACACAGAAGTTTGGTGAAGGTCTGAGTGTATTTTTGCAGCTGCAGGGCTCAGATTATATATTACAAAATTACATGATTACATCCATAAGCCATTGTTCTGCAGTTAATCTTTTCTAAGAGTTTTGATTTCAGAAACAAAAGTGAAACACGTGTATATCAAAATACATTGCCAAAGCATGCTATTATCTTAACAAGCATCAGCTAATGTTAAACAGAAAGTTTCCTGTTTTTCACCTTGGTGAGTTCACATTAGAGACTTTTAAAGTTTATATTCTCTGGTTACACAGTGAGATGACCTCAAACCAATATGTGCTTTCAATATTAGCTCTGTAATCATTAGTATTTCTATTTGAATTCCAGGTGATTCACAATACTGTTGCTTTATATCCGCTTTTTGTTTTTCCCTGTTCATTATACTGTCCCAAACCTCAAGCAGTATCAGTATCCCATTCTAATCCTGTAATGAATGCCAAGAAATCCTTTTTCCTCCTATATTAACCCTTCTACCCCTTTCCTTATCATACACTCCTATAAAAGGCAGTGGTGCATCCGTAGGTACTGGAATTTTATACATACTTTCTTTCCCTTTCGGTGGATGCCATAATCTACTTCCTGCCAAAACATAAGCCGGACCAAAATTAGTCATAACAGTTGGTGGTAACTTTCTTTTTCTCCTAATACCAGAATTAGAGTCTTTTCCCTGAATTGCCTGCCCTGTAGGAAATACATC